ACCCTGTTGGGGCCTTGTAGTTGTTTGTGTTGTTGGTTAGTTTAGTCGCGTGTGTTTTTATTCTAGCTTTGCTAGTCGGAATTCTAGGCGGTCTTCTGACCTGTCCTCCCTATTTTTTTTCAACTGTTGGCTACTGTAGTTTCAGCCGTTGGCTGCTGTGTATTCGCACTTTTGTGCTTTTTATTTTATAATATTTATATCGTTGGAAAAAAAAATCACAAAACATCTGATAAGTAAAAAAAAAAAGGACGTAAAATCTTTACTAAAATAAAAAAGGCTTTATTTATTTGTCTTATTCTATATTAACATCGATTTTGTCAAAACAAATCACATAAAATCGGTGAAGTCAAAATTTGTACGTAAAGTCTATCTATACTAAAAAAAAGGCAAATTCAAAATTTCTTATCTAATTCCTTCTTTTTCTTATCTAATTCCTTCTTATTATGTAATTGTATGGAAATCTGTTCTGATTTTGTTCAATCCTCTAATTGTATTTGTATTATATCTCATAAAATCGGTTTAACAAAAAAAAAACACCATAACATCCGATAAGTAAAAAAAGTATGTAAAATCTTTACTAAAATAAAAAAGGCTTTATTTATTATTTTATTTATTATCTAATTGTATGGAAATCTGTTCTGATTTTGTTCAAACCGATTTATGTATGTTCACATTCAATTTTTCTAATAAAAATATTAGCAGCAATATATATCTACTCTACCCATTATAAATTACAAATCTCAAAATAAATTATTTGAAATATATGAATTCTTGTTTTAATTTCGAAATTTGAAACGTATATTTTAATTTTTTTTGTGTATGTATTTAGTTTTTTTTTTTGTACATCTTTAGTGAAATATATTTTTAATTTTTTTAATTATATTTTCAGATTTGTAATTTGACTTATTTTTTCTACATATCGTGTATGTATTTAGATATTTATATTATTTATATTTACATTCGTGTATTGTAAAACGTTTATTGAATATTGCATCTTATAGTATAATAATCCCCAAATAAATATGTGCCTCGCACAGGTCACGTACTATATGTATTCCGTACATTTTTCTTTATTCATTTATATAATTATAAGGCTGAATAAATAACCTTAAAATTGTGGACCCGTGCACGGACTATGTACTAGTTTATATAAACAAACATACATATAAATATACCCTTAAATATTTTTAATGAATTTTCACACTTAAAAGCCAAACGAAAACAAGTAAAATCACATTTCCTTCCTACCCTCCATTCTCATAAAATTTTCGAACTTCTCAAGAAAAGAAAAACCACAACAATGGTGACCCTCAGTCTATGCGCCGTCGGAGGGGGTATTTCAGTTCGGAACCCTCATAAGCCATCCTCGTATATTTCCACTATACCCTCAAAAAACGCGTTCTTTACCACAACCCCACATAGAAATCACTGTCGAAGTTTATCCGTTAGTGTTAAAAGTCAGTCCTGGAATCGTCAGGAGCAAAATCATCAGCAGCAGCAGAGGTTTTCTTCTCCCGACACTCCATCCTCACTGCCTGGTGAGTTGAATTAAGGTTTTCTTACTGTAATACTTGTGGATTAAGATTTTCTTACTGGTGGGTCTTTATTTTACTTGACTAATTTGCTTAAAGGTGCGTGTTTCATGTTCCTCAACCCCACAATAGTTATGTTATGAAACAAAAAGTTAACCTTTCTCATTCAGTTTCTCATTACAATGATATGTTAGTGATGTATTATTCTTGGCTTTAGCCATTGTTTCGCGTAGTTGTCATTCATATATCTGCTCCCAACAATGCATTTGGATGATGATATTGGTCTGGATTATGTGAAAAACAGGACAATCGCCCCCACGGGTTTATGTGGGCCACTCTATATATAAAGGAAAAGCTGCACTTACAGTCGAACCACGGCCGCCTGAGTTCTCTTCTCTTGATGTATGTTATTTGAGCAAAGCCAATGTGTACATCACTGTAGTATATATCTCAATTGCCATGATGATTATGTTTTTGTATATTTTTTAATTGTGGACCAGTCGGGAGCATTTAGGCTATCAAAGGAGGGCTTTGTTTTACTTCAGTTTGCCCCTGCGGTTGGTGCCCGTCAATATGATTGGGGTAGGAAGCAGGTAAATATGTGCTTTTCTTTTATCCTAATATTATCAAATGAGAACAACACGCTGCTGCTGGGTTAAATGTGTGGTAGAATGTTGGATATGATTCAAGAAACTCAATACCAGTTGCATATTTTGGTTAAACTGTAAAGAAGATCTCTCTCTCTCTCTCTCTCTCTCTCTCTCTTTATAGTTGATAATCTCATTGTGAACCAAACCTAGTTAAGCTGAAAGGTTTTCTCTGGATATATAAGTTAAATATTTTCTTGATTTCTCATACTCTCCACCTCCTCCTAGCCCTAAGGAGTTTCTTCAGATGTGAATAATGTGGCATAACTAGAATAAGATGCCAAAACATAGTACATAGCTATGATATAGATAATATAAACCATCTAACTATAGGCAAAGACAGTGACTGTTTACCTAACTTGTTATGCAATGTGTTTAGTTTTTTTTTTTTTTCCTCCATTTTGTGGGATAATATGTGAATTTCTCAATCTTCAGGTATTCTCCTTGAATGTGAGTGAAATTGGGAGCATAATAAGCCTTGGGGCAAGAGATTCTTGTGAATTTTTTCATGATCCCATGATAGGTAGAAGGTAAGATCATCTTTCTTTTTCTGATGATCATTTATTGTTTACGACCCCTTAGTTTCTATTTGCAAATTACTGAAGCGAATGGAAAATGTCAACCTGCTTTTGATTTATTGATGCAATGTATGCTAACATAGCATGCTCTAAAGAATATAACCTCAAAATCTTGTGTTCTTGTGAACATTTTTTTTTCTGTGTGTGTGTGTGTGTGTGGGCCATAACAAAATGATATTTTATCCCCTTTTCAGAATTTGATCGTCATTTGTTCATATTTATGTGTACAAAATGAGATTTGATTTCCATTTTTATTTATCAACTACTATCCAATCTGTTTCGTAGTGATGAAGGTAAAGTGAGGAAACTGTTGAAGGTGGAGCCTTTTCCTGATGGTTCTGGCCACTTCTTCAATCTCAGTAACTCCGTTTTCCTCTTGAGGCCTTGTTCAACATATTTCTTCACATTTTATCTTTTCTGATTCTTGGATTATTGGATAACTGAAAGGTGTTCAAAACAAGTTCTTGAATGTGGACGAGAACATTTACATCCCCATCACCAAGGCAGAGTTTTCTGTTCTCATATCATCATTTAATGTAAGCCTGCTGTATGTTAAATTCAAGTTGGTGTATAAGTTTTCTGCTTCGTTTTTTCATTTTAAAAGAAGTAATTGATATAGAACAGGCTTAATTTTTCATTTCCGCTAGGACTTTTCCATATACTCGTGTTTTTTACCATCAACTTCCATTTTTTGTCGTCATCCTTTCGGCAGTTCATTTTGCCGTACCTATTAGGCTGGCACGCCTTTGCAAACACTATAAAGCCTGAAGATTCAAACCGTGCGAACGACGTGAATACGAGGTCTGTGGATTATGAATGGAACAGATAGTTTGAGCTTTATGTTGTTGTGAGGTTTCCTAGGTAAGAGATCAACTTATGGATATTTTTTTTCACTTTTGTTCGAGTGATATTGCTATATTTTGTATGTTTTCTTTTCTACTGTGGTCCCTATTATTTCAGATATAACTTCTCCCTCGTTTAAAATTTGTTGTTCTTGTTTCCTCGCAAGGCATCCCAAAATATGGCTTCAGTTCCCAAAACAGAAATTTCTAATCGTTTCTCAAATTAGTGATGCAACAGATCTAACTTTCAACCACTAGTGCAATTGCAGTTGGTCGAAAGCTTGGTTAACTTACTACGCTGCGTGTTTGCAAAAATAGAAGCCTCGGTTGTCAAAAATTGTTTACGTTATTGCTATACGACTAAATATGTTGGTAGTTAAAATGCAGGATCTTTTAAGTCCCTTATGAGAGGAAGCTTAATGTCTGCTGCAATATCGGATGGCTTTATGTGTAAAGGAACTTTACTTCTGTGATGTTCTAACATAATTTTGTAGTGTTTTTTTTTTTATTAAATTACTTAATAAATGGTATTGTCCAACCTTTTAGGTTTAGCTTTTGTTCATGTGAATTTTTCTTCTGGGGAATTGAGTTCTATAAGTATCTTTATGTTACCGTCTGCCGATATATTTCTCGGCTTCAGTTTGACACCACGAAAAGGGTAAAAAGAAAAAGGAGAGAGAGTATTTACCACAACATTTTCATGGTTTCTCAATATAATTGAGTTGAATGATGAATTCCTTACAAAGAATCAGGTTTTCATTTCGTAGTACCTGCATATTCGTTGATTTGTTCTTCTTCTTGTAATGTAAGCCCGACACCAAGCGTTTGGGATTGAAATCTCATCTCTAGATCGGTTAAGGCTGTATGTATTTTTTTAATTAAGGTGCATATTTTTCTAAACTGACAAGTATTTGTGTATTTTAGTTATTTGGCCAGACTAATGAAATATTCTGTATCCACCACTGTTGTTCTCAACCAAACCAAACCGCAACCAAGCCTGGCCCGGCTCCAAACAGTTAAAACTCTTTGTCACAAGTGAAGTCGCTTCTAGTGGATGCTAGGTAACTGAATCAAGCCTGAGATTAGGTAAGCTATATTTTCCAAACATTCTTTAAGCCTTCCTTTAAAATCCCGTTCGTGCGGAAATCCAAAAATGACGACATTAAGGATACCAAAACCTGGGCTAAGAATTTTCGTCAAACAGCTTGGCGGCACTCCGGACCAGCCCAACTTTCTTGTATATGCAGGTGAGTTTGATAGTAGCATGCTTAGTGGTGTGTCCGGACTTGGGAGGCTGCCTTGAGCTTGAGCTCTGCGCATGCTTAGAGTTTGTGAGGAAATGTAAATTTGTGAGCAGGACTAAATTGGAGAGTTTGTGCACAAAGAGGGGAGTAGCTTCTTTGTAGAGTCCATATTTAAAAAAATAAAAAAGAAACATAAATAAAAGTGTGACATCTAATAATGTAAGTATATTTGTTAGCATAATATGATGGGTTGATTCGTTTAATGGTTAGAATGCTTTACACAAAAACTTGTGAAAAAAAGGGAACTCTTTTTGTTTGAATGTGACTTTAGGAGGAATTGGTTCCCAGGTATGATTTTGAGACTCGGGTTCTATATAGAAGTCGGGTTAAAGAATTATTGTCATACTGCTCTAGTGAAGCACCCTGCAATTGTTTGTTCCTTTTTTCCATCTACAGTCTACTGCTAGTTGAAAGTATTGGCAGGCAGTTGGAACTAACCACATAAGGAAGAGCACAAAGTGTTTAGAGAGCTTTAATAGCTCCATCTCCATGAATCGAGCTCCTCGTACAGTTGATGGGAGTGAGGCCCGGGCTTCTTGGCGAGCGTAGTCGTCTCTTTTTTGGGCCTGTTGAGCGAGCTGGTTGAGCTCAACAATATGAGCTCGCTCATGGGTTGTTCTCTCTTAGGCAGGTCCTGAGCTTCTTGGCGAACTTTTACTTAGCCTTTTTGCTCATTGGAGGGACGTTTATGAGTAGCCTTTTAGGAAACTCGAGTGTGTGTCCTTTTGGGGTTAGAGGAGGCAAGGCTTTTAGACCACTACCTCCAGCGACCTCAGGGTCACGTCTTTCCTTCAAGAGCTCGATCCAGAGAGATTCACCAAGTAGTTTATCTAGACAAGGTAGAAGTTAGTACGACTAACTTAATAATGATAAGTGTGAGATAAATCTACCTAAGTCTAACAGTATAGGGACTTCTATTGTGCGAGGCCAGAATGGTACCAGAGCCTCACGTAGGAAGCGAGCTCCATGACGTTGAAAAGAAGTTGCTTCCATTTGGTGATAAGATTGTTCTAGTTTCAGTGGGTTTTGGTTTTCTTAGTTGGCCGTAGAAATCTATAATCCATTGCGGAAGAAAGTCTAGCATTGGGCTCAGATTTTATAAAATAGAATTTGGTTTTCCAAGAAGAAATGTTAGAGGAAAGGTCGTGGAGGAAACTCACGCTAATACGAGCTGTGAGATTATGCAACTTCTTTCTCATTTTTGAGCAGTAATAATAGGAAAAATATGCAGTGTTTAAGGTATGAAGTCGACATTGACTTAAGATAGTGAGCCCCACCGTTAAGAAAATGGAGTTCAGGGTGACATGGTTCAAGGGTAAGCGGTATAAATGGCTCAGATGCACTGAATTCTCTTGAAGGTGAAATCTATGGCCACTATGGACTCGGTCCCATAAGAAGGTATAAAGCCTAGGGGAGTATGGTCGAAATTATCTTTCAAGACAAGATATTGCATAAACTAGTTATGAGAAAAGTCACATAATATGCAAAAGACTACTTGAAAGCAAATACCTTGGCATATTACCCCCTAGGCACTGGTAATCCAAAATAGAAACCTTGGTTCTTTATGAAAGAGGCACTGAAAAAAGATATTATACAAACTGGAAAAACAGGTGTAGGGAAGGACGTTTTGCTAAAGGCTGTGCTGGGAGCTTTCCCCACGCTTTTAATCTCGGCCCAAGTGTACGAGTGAGGCCCAAGGCCACGAAGATCGTGCTTCATGCGGCCCGCACAATCATCGCTAAGGTTGCCGATTGATCAGTACGACAATCCCCCCTTGGAAGCTGTTGTAAGTATTTTTACCGGAGTAGAATCAAGAGATTCGTCCCCCAGGTCGTATCACAAGGAAGGTCGACTGGATTAGTTTGCACGTATATGAACCCTTGGAAGAACTAAAAAGAAAGAACTCACTAAAAAGAAGCTTAGAAGTCTTCTAGAATAATTTATTCTCTTTCATGCCACATAAGCACAAATAGAAGTAAAAAACATACCTTGGAGAAGATTTATATGGGATTGCTTCTACAATCCTACAATACAGATTCCATTGGAGATGCTCTAAGGATGCACACGCCTAAATGTTCGGCTATTTTATATGTTTAATATTTAATAAATCTGTAACAATCCTAATCAATGGCAACAAACCTAATCAATTTACAAAATAATCAATGGCAACAAACCTAATCAATTTACAAAATACTTTCAGCAACTGTTTCAATTATAATTTTAAGATAATTTAAGTTAAACCATAGCACAATTACTTAAGATACACATTGCTATTACTAATAAGTTGACTTATACCAATTTCAATATATTTTTTTTTTTTGTACTTTCTATAATGTTTACCCCTTAAAAGTCCATACCCCATAAAATTCCATACACAATTGGTGCAATAATAATTTTAATATTATTTTTTTGGCTAAGACTGCAAAAAATATATTATTGCAATCAATATTCGTATGTAAGTTAACTATTCTATATCTATATCGTTCATTTTTATCAATGATAAAATTTATACAATGCGCTAGGCTCATTATCTAACTTATGATATTAAACACTTACATACAAACACATTTAATTGATAGTTTTTTGTTTTTTTTTTCTTCGGTGCATGTGCTCATGATCGAATACTAATTTTAGTTGAAATGCTAATTATTTAACTTATGATATTAAACACTACATACAAACACATATGAACTATAATTTTTCTTTTAATTTTGTGCATGTGCACATGTTCGAATACTAGTTTTAGTTGAAATCTAGCACAATCAAATTATATAAAATAAAAAAATGATATATTCAGTACATGAAGTAATATAAATAAAGCTATTATCATATATTGTCTTGAACAAATTATTCAATATAACTCAATCTAATTAAACAATAAAAAAACTATACACAAAAAAGATGGTCAAAATCTAAAACGAAGCGTGAGAATTGGACACACATTTAAATCATTTTGAAGTATACTAGTAAAGTGCACGTGCAATGCACGTGCAATGCACGTGGTGACAAATATTTTTGGCCGATAAGATAAATTAATTAATTTATTAAATATATGATTGCAAGAACAAGATGAAATATAGAACAAATAAACTCTTAATATAAATTTTTTGTTAAAAACAACATAATGATGTCGTAACATAAAATGATTTAAATAACATGTTACAAACTCAAACAAAAATATATAAGAATATAAGTTCCTAATAATAATAATAATAATAAATAAATAAATAAATAAGGATCTAATGTATATTATAGATGCATGAGTTATTTATCTATTTGTAATGTTCGAGAGTCATTTTTTTTTTCATTTTAGTTTTGAGTTCTCATAAGAAACATTCATACCCATTGGAGTCCAATACATCAATAGTATTGCAAACTTATTCTTAATTAATTAGTAAAACGTCTACTTTATTCAACACTTATAAATACTTTAGCCAAACATATAGTCAAACTTCATAATTGAACGATCATTATAAGGTATTTCAACTAACATTTCATAATTATCTATGTGAAGTAACCAACCGTGTCACTGAAATTCGTGATTTTTTTGATCATTGTATAAACTACTACATTACTCTCTCTCCCAATATAGACAAATTGGTACCTATCATATAAGGTGAGAACGAATTTT